TTTATTTATTTATGTGTGTGTGTGTGTGGCCAGCTCAGCCCACCAGGGGGCGGGGCTGGCTGGCATGTGGTGCTGGGGGATTGAACCGCAGTCCCTGTGGTTTGCTAAACTTGTTCTAAGTAGGTGCTTTAGACCACTGAGCCATCTCACCAGCCCCAAGTGTTGCAGTTTAAATCACACCACGCCTGCGACCGGCAGAAGCGCTGCCTTCTACATTGCTCTGTGATGCTAAACTGTCCCTGTCAGATCATTTATAACTTCATGGCTTATTTTATTTATGTTTGGTTCAGTAATATAACCTCACTTTCCTTTATGATTTAAAATAAAGGTCTATTAAGCGGATTTTTACTTCTTTTTTTAGCTTCTGAACTGATCAGAACATGAGGTCATCCTAAGGTAAGGCTCCCCAGGGTCGAATTTAGGAGCTCTGGAGGTCAAATCCCTTGGTGACTTGGCAGTGTTCAGGGGGAGGCCCGCTCTGAAGTCAGGGGCTTTATTGGTGTCACCACCTGACCCGGCCGATTTCCAGGTCACCTTTGAAGGTGGGCTTCTCAGTCAAAAGAAATGAGAAATGGAGGTGGGATGTAGCTGAGGAGTGGAGCAACCTTCATCCTAATGGTTCTTTGTCCACCATGTTAAAGTTGGCAAGAGAGAGGGGAAGACCTCAGAGAGAGGTAGAAAGCCTGCATTTGAGACATGGGATTGAGTACCCCACTTTGAGGTTTAGAAAAGGGTAGCAACTTTCTTGAAGGCGCACAGCAGTGTGGCCCTAAATTACCATCCAGGTCCTAAGCTCCCCTTCTCTCCCTGCAATGCCTGTACTTTCCTGAGTGGCATAGCTCACAGAACGCCCACAAGAGAACTCGCCAGAAGGCTCTGCCTGACTGGCCCCAGCTCCCATCTTCTGGCTGGCTTTAGCTTGGCGAGGCGTGACCACAGTGACCCCAGCTGGCCAGGCTCTGGTGGTGTCCTGTCAGCCCCGTGCGGTACCTGTCCAAGGCAGATTGGCGTGTGGGGCAAGGAGGTCTGAACTGAGGGGTACAGAGAACAAGGCGGACTCTGGAGTTGCTAAGGAACTGGGCACGCTGAGAAGGCTGTGAGCTGAGGACTGCCGGCTTCACCAGGCCCTGTTCTCAGAACAATTAGGAGAAAGAGGCCCCGGTCAGGTTGGGTTCTGGCCCTTGCTCTCACAGACCCGTATCAGTCCTTCTGATGCAGCTGAGGAGATCGAGTCTCAGAGAGAAGAAGCAGTTTCCCCAACTGCAACCCACAAGTGTTTCTCAAAGCCATGTTACTGTAGTACCTTGGGGTGTTCACACAAAGGAAAACGGAGGTTAAAAGAGTTAGGGGGTTGCTAGGTCAGTGTCTTGCCTGTAACTTTCTAGAGCCTTTAATATGCTAATGTGCTCTGTGTATCGCCACAAGGGCACATACAACAGTTTCTGAAAGAACATGGTCATCTATCTATCTGTCTATCTTTCTTTCTTTTTCTTTTTGAGACAGGCTCTTGCCAGGCAGTTCAGGCTGGCTTTGTGCTCACTTTGTAGCCCTGAATGGTCTCAAACTCACAACGATCCTGCCTCAGCCTCCTCAGTGCTGGGATTACAGGTGTGTGCCACCATGCCCAGCTCATGTTTCAAGAGGCCCAAACACTAATTCTTAAACGTCCTACCACCCCTAAAGAGTGCACTCTAAGATTAGGGGTTCACCTCTTGGCTCTACCAGATCAACATGTGTACCCGTAGGCACAGTGTTTGCTTTACTGTGCCTCACACTCTTCATCTGTAAAATGGGATAAAATCTTGTACTTGCATCTGGATGCGGTTGGCTGAGTAACAGAAAACCCTGACTCAAGTGATTTAAATGAGAAAACGAGGCCTCGCAGAAGCCTCACGTTAGGGGGCCTGTCTGTGCATTTCCTTGCATAATAAGGAAAATAAATCTTAGTAAGAGTCCTGCTAAATCAAGTTAACAAGAATCTTCGCCCTTCAAGCCTGACCCAGCTGCTCATCTCCAGCACCCCCAGGGGATGTGAGCCCCCGGGCTGTCCTGAGCAGGACCCTGCTGTGTAGGCCTCTGCTGAAGTCCCCTTACTCCTAAGATTTCATCTTGGCCATTTTCTATCCACTGCGCCCGTCCTGCTCCTTGGCCTTAAATCCCCACTTGCCCTCACATTCCAAGCAGGGCCCAGTCTCTCTTCCCCCGTCTTAAGAACTCATCATGGTGGTCCAGCGCCTATCACATGGTCCTGAATATCCTCAGGCTTTCTAGCCTGTAATGATGTCACTGAGTACATTTTATTTTTATTTTTTCTTTTCATCTTATGTATTTGGTACAGAGTCTCATTACACAGCTCTGACTTGTAGTGAGCCTCCTGTTTTCAGCCTCCTCAGCACGGGGATTATAGGCATGCACCACCATGCCCAGGCTCGGTCGCTGGCTCAGTGCACCCCAGGGGCAGGGCCAGTGCTGCATGTGAGACTGGGGATTGAACTGTGGTCCCTGTGCTGGCCAAAGCAGATGCTTAGACCACTGAGCTATCGCACCAGCCCTACTGAGTACATTTTAAAAAATGTTTTATGAGTATGTGCTTGTCCTATATAGTGCTCACATTCATCATAGAATATTTGTACCTATACATAATATATCTTAATTCTTTTCTTCCTATTCCTGTTTCCCTCCCTTCAACCCTTCTTCCCCTCCCCATTTGTAGATACTAAA